AAAAAGTACATCCATAATGCTTTGCGCGCTTCTGCACTGTCGATGTTCACATATTTTTTAATCGTTTTATATTTATTTAGCCGGTCTTACGCTTACGTAATCAATTTAATGTTGTAGGTGCAGCTGTTAAAATACTCACTTGTGCCCTGACAGACCATTACTTCTCTGAAGGGAGGAGGGGGAGACAAAAATTATTTTGCATGCAAACAACTTATTATTTTCTTTTTTGCAGCAGCAAAAAATTTATTTGCGGGGTTGCATACAATTTAGATATATCAACAAAGTTAAAATGGTAAATTGGCCACCGTAATGATTACAAAAGCTGACGTTTCGAGCGTTAGCCCTTCGTCGGAGTGAAATTTTTTTTCGCTCCGACGAAGGGCTAACGCTCGAAACGTCAGCTTTTGTAATCATTACGGTGGCCAATTTACCATTTTAACTTTGTTGATATATCTAAATTGTATGCAACCCCGCAAATAAATTTTTTGCTGCTGCAAAAAAGAAAATAATAAGTTGTTTGCATGCAAAATAATTTTTGTCTCCCCCTCCTCCCTTCAGAGAAGTAATGGTCTGTCAGGGCACAAGTGAGTATTTTAACAGCTGCACCTACAACATTAAATTGATTACGTAAGCGTAAGACCGGCTAAATAAATATAAAACGATTAAAAAATATGTGAAGATCGACAGTGCAGAAGCGCGCAAAGCATTATGGATGTACTTTTTAGGAAGAATAGGTTGGAATAAAAGCGGACTTATTTCCGTCAAACTATCAGCTAACTCTGTGAACACGCTTTAAGCTACAGAATCACGAACTCTCGCATGCGGGGTTTTCTGGAAGGGGGTTTCTTTAGTCTGGTCCTTCACCTCATGCCTTTTTGTGCAGAGGTTCCCCCTTTTCATTAAAAAATGCCTGCGGTGTGGTAAGGCTGGATTGGAGGTGACATCAGGGAGAGGCGTATATGGGCAGCGAACCTGAAAATAGCGTTTTTGTTCTAGACTTTTGGAAAGGGTTTGGGATGAATCAGATGTAAAGAAATAGATATAATATTCCCCAACCCAAACAAAAGAACAAAATCAAATCAGCATTTCTGGTTAAGAAACACCAATGGGGGAGGGGGTAATTCTCTGATAATAATACCCTGATACCTTGGGTGCTCTGTGGTACTATTAACAGATCGACGTCGATGATTAAAGACCCCATGTAAAACATTTTATCTTATCTATTCAAACGACTGATCATCCAAACAAGTGGCCAGTGTGAGTCTTGAAAACTCTCTGAGCAGTTTGCAGCCGCAGCCATCATTCTAAGGTGCTGCATACGGTTGAGTAGATAAAGTCAGCGACCGGCCGGTAGTTTCCCCCGTACACCAGGCTTGGCAAGTGTACTTTTAGTAGCACTCTAAATTGGATTTATTTCATCAGGTACATTTAAAAACCCAATATTGTGTATTCAAATATAATATGAGCCCAAAATGTCTT